ATGCGTATTTTGATGAAGGTTGCACAGTTACAATGTAGATACGGTTTCTCAAACCATGTGCGTATTTGTTGCGTATTCACGCGTGCGTATATATTATATAAACTTTATATACTGATAGAAAATGTCTCGCGTGTAAATAGTTTGCAAAAAATTGCATCTGCTAAAAAAAGGTAATCTTTAATATTCGGCAAAGTTAACGAATATTTAACGCAAATTATATGAATAAGCTAGCTTAAACGACAATCGTAATAATGATAGTTACATTTGCGACAATTAATGAACTATATGCAATAGTAACTAATTTAGTTCTGTGGTCTCATTTGTCGTTGACTGTGGCAGACCAAATCTCGTGCTACCCTGTATATGCCGAAATTCATATACAATTATTCCTTTAACATTTTACTTGTTTACATTAATTGTAAATAATAATTCCATTGTGTTATGTATAATGCAAATTATGGATTGCATAAAGGGACGCTATTAATTACCGGAGCGTATCTTTTGTGTGCGTAACTTCTTTAATCAATTAATAAAAATAGAATTCAATAAACAAAAATGTTAAAAGCAGAAAAAGTCGATATATATCATCAGGATGGGTCGCGCGATATTTTTTCTATGTCTTTTTCTTATCGATTATTATTTCGATATCTTTTATAACCGCTCGCAATATCTGTGACAGTCTTTTAATAACCTTACACGTCAATACATTTTGAGATCTTGAAAACAAGTAAAAAAAACTTTTAGATAGATAAGAAATGGACTTTCGAGATCGAATTCCGATGAACATGAGGCGGTAAACTAATTTTCTAGTGAAAACAAGTGAGATCACTTCGACGATTTTATTACGTAAACAGCGAGATATTTCGCACAATTTAGACGTGCAAGATGTTTCCCTATCTTGCAAGTGATCGTCGCGTGTTGCCGCATAATAACTCATTTGATCAGAGACGTCAATGCTTTGTGTACCTAAATTGTAATCTAGGATAACTTTCAGCTTTGTCGCGACCGTCCCTCTCTGTTTATCAGTTTTCCCAGTTTCCGCGATTTCCGCAAAGTCAACAGTATTAGCGCGTTTATCGTGCCATTTCATTGCAGTTACGTCCTCCGGCTGCCTGTTAATTCGTCCCGTTTCACTCGGGTCCTTTCAGTTGTGCGGTCGCATTCTTAATGCCCATTCAACGTGGTATCGCGATACGAAACAGAGACACTCGCGCTAATAATGTCGTGTTACTATGACCAGCGTATATCGTATTGTCATGTACAAAATGGATCAGAGTTGAAACTTAGCCATCGCGAAACTAATAATGATATAAAAATGACCATATGTATATGACATATGTCTCATATGTGTTTATTTTCAATATTAAACAATTTAATATTTTGTCATTTTTGTTTCAAAAAATTTAAAAAATTTTTCTAGAGAGAAAAAGAGAAAACAGCGCGTGATAAAATACGTATATACATAAAAAAAATTAAAATTTTAAATTGTGAATGGTCAAGTTGGCAATATGATATAAAATTCCATAGAAATCAAATCACGGCTTTGCATTCATACATTCGGTAGGCGCCAAATAATTTTTTTCTAAAACTTTTTTGCGCTGTATTTCTGTGGTTAAGGCACATTTCAAAACGTTAAAAGCATTTTACGAGAAAAATCAAATTTTTACCTGTCAAACTGTGCAGATGCAGTTCTCGCGAATAGCACCGGTTTCTACGTATATGAATAAATTGTTGGAGGTTTTGATTGAAAAATAACGTGTCGTCTTTTTTCTGATTTCTCGGGAATTTTCGTAATTATAACACGTGTCGATACTAGGAACTTAAATGCACGATAGCTACCGAAGAAGGAGATGACAAAGAGAAAAAGCAATTCACCGACGAGAGAAAGGTCGCACAGTGAGAAAAGAAAAAAAAAAATAGAGACGCCGAACTAAACAAGAATTTAGATTAAAATACAGAAACGTGCGTTCGAGGATGCGAATGCGAGGGGATGAATGGATGCTGCAGGTGTATTAGACTGTCGTGACGTACACAACGACACCATCGGCATTTCCCGATTGTGGAATGTGATTCGTCCGAAGACATAATTTTGCGATGTGCATCATCGGATATTTACGAGCAACGTTTTCTCCTCATTTTATCGCCATCAAAGGACCGTCTTGCACAACCACGCGTGCGCGTTTCAGTGGCATTGTGAATGTCACGTTTTACCCATTGAAGATTCTCTGTGACTAAACCCGAAATTGTGATAATACAAACCTTTTCGTAAAGTACCGAAGATTTCGAGCAAATAGGTTATACAAGGTATGTTATTGATTATAAGGATGTTATTGAGAGTGATAATAATATTTATTACCCTCGATATGCATGTTTCGCGAAGACATAAAATATCAAATTTTAATTGCCTTGCGCTAATCGGGATATAATTAAAAATTTTTAACTAATGGAAAATGTAGAGAAAATCGTGACAAATGTATATAGAACGTGCGATCGCTATGACGTAGCGAGATATGAAGTCATTGCGATGTACAATATAAACTACAAGATATAACTGTACTACTAATTTAATATCGAAAAAATTGAAGTATTGTATATTAGAGGATATTGAACAAATTGGAATTTTGCTATTCTATTCAATCTTCGGCTGGTTTATTGCATTTTTCATTTGATGCACGATGCGAATCATATATCGCATCATACAACCGCAAATTTAAATAATTCAATAATAAAATCGAAATAACTGATTATTGTCAAATGATCCAAAAACCTATTTTAAACATTAAATTGCATGCAAAACATAAAAGAATGATGATAAAAAAAAATAACACGCCTTAATAAATGATTTGAAAAATAACATACGATGATCATATGTACAAAAATACGAAGACTCCAATCAAGCTTTAACGGTCCACGGCAATTGTCCGCCATTGAATAATATTGAATAAATCTTAACGCATATTATTAATAGAATGTGCGAAGAACTTTAATACATCTCTCGTACAAATGTAGAAAAAATTTTAAATAATTAATTCAAAACTCTATGTCACTCTACGTCTTGATATGTGTATACTCTCGACGGGAAAACGGAAGAAAAAAAAAAAATACGGAGAGATATCGGTGCGACGCCGAGACGTAACGTGAGATAAACGCGAGTTTACTGCGTGAGTTGAACAAAAAATAGACGCGAGACGTCTACCGCGCCGGCTGGCCGGCGACGAGTCAATGTCAAAACAAAACTGTTACTATTACACACACTCTAATCTAATGCATTTCTCTGATATTTCTTTTATGTATTTCAAGATTAATGACTCGAAAATAAAATGAGAAACATATAGATCGACCAGGTGTGACACATTATTACATTATATTAATTAGTAGTACAGATATCAGGAAGGAAATACTATAGGTCAGACTTTTATCTGGCATTCATTGCTATACGATACTTGTCAGACGATAGTATTGACGTAATATAAATATGCCAACACTCGATGTAATTAATATAATAACGCTGAAGAATTTCTCTCGGATATTATTTTATAAGAATGAAAACTGTCGAATAGAGAAATGCCACGTAATAAATGTTAAATGTAGTTTTAACATAATATCGTAAAAAATAAAAACGATTAGTTGTGGACAATGATTGATTATGTTAATTATTAATCTATTGAAAAATTATTTCTGTATGGATTTTATGCATATTTTTTTATACATAGATTGATTAAATGAATAATGTTTTGATAACGATAACAATCTCAGTACAATCTTGCTCAATAACATTACAATGCGTCATACGATTTGGTTTAACAGGTTAATACAATCAATATTGTAATAATAATAATCGTAGCAATATCTAACGATTTAGTATAACTGCAATTTCAGATTAACATTACGATGGTGTAAAATGATTTAAATTCTTAGTGTAGGTATAAAGAGAATGCCATTTGACCTAAATTCTGAAAAGTGTATAACTGATAAGTGAAAAATATAATTAATACTTTTTAATAAAATAACAAAATTGTTTATATTGTTATGAAAAATTTTATAACAGTTTATTTCAAACAACGCAATAAAATTTTAATTTGCGTAAAAGATATCCGATTATTTTATAAACGATAGAACAATTTTCATTAAGTTTATATACGGGTGAGAGAGATAATTTTGAATAAATCTTAATATATCTTATTAATAAAATAAGAGAGAGAAGCAAACTTTAATATGCATTTTAATTAAATAGCGACTAAATTTTGAAATAATAAATAAAACGAAAATATCTGCAGTCACATCTGTACATATACATTTATATTTATATATTTATATATATGTCATACATTATAGCTGAATTAAAAAAGATTACTTTATTATTTATAAAATTCTTCTTCGCGTTTTCTCTCTATTCCCTTTTTTTAATGCATGCATAAAATGCGTTCACAAAGTAATATATAACTTCGCTAATATTGCTTACGGAGTATAAACATCATAGCTGTAATAGAAGAATTATGCCGTATTTTTTATATTAAAGAACGCGACAAGATCTTTAATGTGTGCGTGTCATTGTCCACAACTCCAAAACTCCGAAACTCAAAATATCAATCGATCGCGAGGAATTGCGCGAACGTACGCAAAGAACTCTCCATGACAGCTCACGATCATCCCGAACGATGACTCCTTAATCGTCTATCGCGGGGTATTCGAAAATTCTGCAGAGGCACCCGCGCATTCGAGAGAACCACCGAAATGGGAAACTCACCACTCACCGCCACCGCCGCCGAGTGCGGTGTTCGCGTATGTACATCGCATATAACTCGTCGCCGAAGGGTAATGAACCCCGGACGGACGGCGGGTGATGTTCGCTCGCGACGCGAGGGAGCGAAAAATCTCATCCCCGCGACGAGATTCCGCCGAGATAGAATCGCCGTCGTCGCGCGATGACGCATATATATAAAAACGTACAAGAGAAAAACCGAAGTATGTACGAGTATTATAGAGTTCGACGTACTCACCGCAATGCAGTGACCTCCGCCGCGACCGTTATCAGCGCGCCGAGTTTCCCTCCCTCGGTGTCGGCGACGCGGTCTTCGGGTGACGGGGGTTGAACGAGAGGGCTATTGCCGCTACTGCTTCTGTTACTGGTACTGCCGCTATGCCGTGACAGGAACCACCACGTATGAATCGAGGGACAGTCACGTTTCGATCGGCGTAACGCGTATACGTTCGCCGAACAAGGGAGAGAGAGAGAGAGAGAGTCACTTAGATTCACCGCACCACACGCGTACGCGCGAGTTAACGTTAGACGCCGGGCTTTGTCGCGACCGGACACGGCCAGGATCCAGGAAACACGGAGAAGGAAAGTTTTTTTTCGGGCTCGACGCGGGCCGCCGAATCGATGTGTGATGTTACACTTCCCAACTGTCTTTTTTGATTCTGCGGATGTGCTCGCGACTAGCGCCATCCCGCAGCGCGTCGGCGTACTCGGTAACTTGGCATCTGGCGGCATATTTGAATATGGATCGCTCTCTCTGTTTCGGCGGTATATCGGATATAAAAGTAATGAAATAATAATTTATTTAAAATCTATATTAATTATTACATAACGATTATTCCGGTCTCCAAATGGGATCACAGTCAATTTTGAAGAACGTAAAAGAAAAAAATGTGGATTAATGATGTTGGAACTAATGAAATATTAATGTATGAGTAAGAGCTAATCCACATATCCTGAATTAAATATATTACTAAACTACTATTTCCTCTTTAATTATTCATAAACTTTACGATAAAGCTTTGTTGACTAGTTGACTAAATTTATTGATAGTAATAATTTAAAACAAAAAGATAGTATTTTGCGTTTTTATAGCTTTATTCTTTGGACGCTTTAAAAAATTTACAATATGCAAAAATAAATTAAACAAGATATTTACTGAATCTTTATGAAACTTAAAAATAGATTTCTATAAGTTTATAATTTCAAGATTACAGACAATAATTATTAAATAGCAAATAAAGAACAGAAGAGGAAGCAAATCAATATTGAAACTGATAAATCACTCGAAAGTTGCATTGAAAAAGTAGAAAGTTAAAATATAAATCGGATAGAGATTAAAATAAATTCTCTTGTATCCATAGGTTCTATTGTATCATCTATGCGATAAGAATCAGGAATTACGTCCTAATAGTCAACTTTTTAATATAATTTATTTGCATATATAGTGTCTGGTTTTCCACAATATTATATAAGAACATAATTTGTTTCGTAATATTAATTTCATTAAATATAATATTAATGTTTAAAATTTATGATTGAAAATCCACCATTTCGTTAGTATAATAATTAATAATCGTAACGCAAGGATATAGCACGATAAGCATATTTTTTTACGTATTCCTCGTTGCAACTGCGATATAGAAGCGCTCGTTTTTTTATACATATATATATATTACAACGTATTTGTATATATTTTTTGTTATATTTACATACGAATTAATAGGATACAACATAATTAAGTCACGCATTTCATTCAGTTCATGCAGGCGTAAGTAAATAAAACGTGTGTGTACCACATTGAGCTAGCTTAAAAACAATTAAGTCTCTTTCTGTCTTTGTAAATTAAATAAGACGTTGGTAGACGTCTAGATAATTGACATATAGATAAAAACACGCTCTTTAAGTGTTTATAGACAAATAATAGCTATCTGACGCAGCAGTAAGCTCAATACATCGGTAAATAATGATGTAAACATTAAGTAGATATGTTGTAATGCGTGATATAATTATTGTAAGGCATTAAGTTTCACGGATTAAAAATATTTATGATGAAGCATAAATGCCGTCATTTTTAAACAAAACGTCTATCTGTGATAATACCTACATTTTTAAACCTTCTTTTTTGATATATCGTCACAATTTTTACAGGTAGATACAACTTTAACGCGCTGGTTTCTGTAAAAAGGTTTATGCGGTACATAGAATACTAAACGCGACTATTAAATTTATTAGATATCTTATCATTAATGCTTTTTTGTATTTATAACTTTTTATATAAGAAGAATATAATACAAGTAACTACAATTTATGTAGAGCATATACTTATACTTAATTACAAAAATGTTCGAGTCTCTCGCATCGTTTGCATTATACCGTGACAATGTTCTGTAAGTCCATTGATTATATACGTTATGTATATTGCTTGACTATACTGTTTGCAAATTATAAGAAAATTTCATATGATATATGTTAAATAATATTATTTTTAAACAAATAAAATTAATCTCATTACCAGAACAAAAGATCTACTCGAGAAAGATTCTATATTTTAAAAAATAGATTGAAAACTAATATAAAGAGAAAGAAAACAGCTTTGAAAGGCAGACTTAGAGAACATCGTACTGCACGCGCACATAATGACATTTATATCCTATCTTCATTTTAATTTATAAAGATTGGATTACGCATTAGTTGTTTGTTGCTTCAATAATGAGCTCGAAGTTTTACTCACACTTCATAACATATTAGATTACACTGAATTAAGCTTGTAATTTCCCAGCTAAGAAAAATACTAACATATTAAAAATGTAAGCTAATACATATATGTTTTTGTGAATCTAATATGAAGATGAAAGAGTATAAAAGGATATTAATTTATCAGCGAATAATTAGCGCATTTAATTATCATAAAAATCTAAGATTATACGAACGAGAGACTTATTCAAATAAGAAATTTCATAACCAGAATTTAAGGCCACAAAATTTCTACCATGACAATGTTATTTATTATCTAATGGGACGTATCCATGTGTGTCTACAATAAAATAAGCTGTACAAATAGGATGGAATGTTATATCAACTCTGTGTTCTTCAGAATGTATATTATTTTTGTGAATAAATGTTATATGATACAAGATAGGCATTCGTATTTGACATCAATTTCATTTTCGATTAAAAAAAAAAAAGCAAATTTAATTATTTTCGAAATTATTTTGAGTGTTGTTATACCAGAATATTGACAACATATACGAATGATTACACTTTTAAGAAACAATTTCATAATTAATGTATGTGTTCCTTCACTTAATAAACTGTACAACTATGCTATTTAAGCACTTGCAATATATATTTTTAAATCATTATTGAATTTAGAAAAACAAGCAAGAAGAAGATTAACGATATAATTTGTAATCAATTTAATTAGTCCTTAAATTAAATTTTAATCATTTAATTTCCTAATAATTATCAAAATATTTATTTTACAAATAAGTTTAGTATGCTTAAAATCCTGCATTGTTTTATGTGTTAATATGAAGAACATATAAATTTATTTTCTTATATACAGCTTCAAAATGTTTGTATTTCAATTTTTGACTCTGTTTTATCCCTACAATACGTTATTGTACGGAGGTGGTGGGACAATATATATATATATATATATGTGTGCGTGTGTGTGTGTGTGTGTTTTACCTATATTTTCACAAAAGACAAACAATTTAGATAAGTATTATATAAATGTTTGCATACTATTAAAGTTGAAAAAAAGAAAAGTAGTATTTGATGTGCCATAAAAATATAATTAAAATTATGAAGTGTAATATCTCAACATCCACAATATATATTATATATGTTTGATAGCTGTATACTTTATAAAATAACAATTATATTTTTAAATATTTTTGATGTGATATAAAACTATAGGTTAAATTCTTTAAAAGTTAAGTAAAAGTTAAGCGATTTTTTTTACCAAAATTTCTCAAGTGCAAAATCTTAAGTGCAATTTTTTGAGCACGACAACATTATATCATATTAATATCATGTAAAAGTGAAAAAAAAAGAATGCATATGAGTACAGATATATAGAGCATTTGTTCTTTCATCTTCAAGTCACAGACTAGCATTGATTGTTTTCATACAATTAGTATGACATTTTAGAATAATTTATCATAGTTTGGTGTTATATAATTTTTTCTAAAAATCATATTTCATATAACAACGCTTTAGCATTATTAACAAATGAGAACAATCAATTAATAAATCAATATCATAATATCACATTGTTATAGCAGCCAAATCACTTCTCTTAAGAAATCCTAAAGTTGAAATAGTAAAAATATGGCATATCTGTAAAAGTAGATTAGTTATACAATTGCATATCAGAAATTAAACAAATATTTTTTATTAAATATAATGGGTATCTCTTTTCTGTTTAAAGTTCGATATATTGAAAGACTTGAAGTTATTATATGAAGTTATTATACATATAATGATTGAACTTATTTAGAATAATTAAACAATTTATATTTTTTACATATTATTCCCAATGTTTTAATGTTGTCGCTCATAATTACAGGACAACTAAATTCTTAAAGTGCAAGAACTTTTAAATAGAGATAATCATGTTATAGGACAGATATACTTCTCTGTGTACCTATATAGATATATATGTAATATATACATTATATTACAGATATCATCATGAATAAAGGTATTTCGTGCTAGTCGACTCCAGCGAAGCCTTGAGAACCTTCAATAGCTTTAACTAGCTTATCCCTGAGTTGTTGATAACTTTTATATGGAGGAAGGTCAATACGATTAAAACTGAAACAATTTATACATTGCAATATATAAATCGTATATATAATTTGCTATATAATTATTGTAATGATAAATTTATATGTAAGAAATTACTATGATAATAATAGTCAAAATTAGAAAATATACTTTATGATACTCTCTTAAAATATAGAATGGATAAAATAGATAAAATATATATGTAACATTACTTAAAGCTAATTAAAAACAACTTTAAATGAAATGCATGAATATAGCAAAGACTCACCAAGTATGAGCTCTTGGATAATTTTCTGGTGTACCCCATCTCTCAATTGTAAATAATTGCGGTCCATTACTACCATAAAGTTCTTTGAATCCATTCATCGGCACACGTGATGTGCCAGTCACAAATTGTAACAATCTAGAACGCATTTCATTACTAAATGACAGAACAACTCTCCAAAACCATTGCACAACAATGTGATTTGCGTGATAGTCTCCTTTATATAAAGTATTTTGTTTCCAGTCTTTCACATCAATATGCTGTATACCACACATCAACAGCTCTAGTTCATGTTCATCAAATATTTTCACCAATGTTGATGGTATAAGAGCATTAAACCCTTCCAAAAAAGCATTCATTTGTTCTTGCACACGAGATACAAATCGCCATTGTATGACTAAACTTATATATTCATCCTTATTTTCATCAGTTAAAGGAATATTAGCACCATCTGGCTTTAATTCTCTTTGAGAAGTATGGCCAAAACTTTCTTCGTCCAGACAGAAAGTGAGTTCTAACTCACTGGGATCATTCTCTTTAATCCATAGAAGAGAATTATAATATTCTGAATCAACACTTTCCATGTCTTTCAGATCAATTGGTTTACCCAACATCATCTTGTAAAATGGTCGAATAAAGAAAGCTAAAACAAGAAAAGCAGAAATATAATTATATATCTTTTATATATATTGTGTGTGTATTTTAGTATTAGGTCTACCGGAAAGTTCTGTCCGTTTTTGGAATAAAACAAAATACAAATTGTTATTACTCTTTTCTCTTACCATCCAAAAGCTTGCCATGATAAACAGCCATCCCTGCTATACGTCCAATAAATTTAAAGTAATTCAAATGCTCCTCATTACATACACCAGAACAGGGATTAATTTGAAGCGTATAATTATCTCTAAGATTAACCAAAAAAATATTGTTATTTTTGTCTTATATTCATAAATTACAAGCAAAAAAAGCAGTATTTTTATACTTACGTTGCAGAGTATTCAAAAAGTCCATAGTATGGATTAAACATTTCCTTAGACAATAAGAAGAACCATTCTCTTGCAAGGCCACCATAATCTAAGCCTATTTCACCTTCAAATTCTACCCACAGTTTTGTCTTTAGAATATCGACTCGATTAACAGAACTTATAATACGATATGAATCTTCCAAAATATTGTTCCGTCCGACTTTTATCTCAAACTTATTAGGAACATTATTCTGTAATAAGAAATGTTATATATATAATAATCACATCTATGCTTGATTAAAATTATATAAGATAAACGCATCTATATACATACAGGCTTTCTTAATTGTGATTTTAGATATTCATATTTACGCTTGTAATCCCTAGAATACGGTACAGCCTGAAAAATGTAAAAGTGTTTGTCAATATTTCAACTATAAATAAACATATATTGTATTTTATAGGTAAAAGGTTCGTATTTAAAATATTTGTAATCACGTACTGGGCCAGCAATTTGAGGATTAGACATACGTGGGTCTTCCCATTGTGTTGTCCTTGTATCTATAAAAAAAAAAAAAGAATAAATAGATGCCGAAGTGTGATATTATCATCACTTAATTCAAAACTTTGATTTATAAAAAAAAAAACTATATAAACACATACTATGATCTATGAAGAAAATTCGTCCATCAGTATGGATTCTTTCCTCCCAACCTTCTGGAAGCGGTCCTAACTGATCTATATCACTTCTCGGTGCCGTCGACGGTGCAATATGATTAGGTATAGAACTTGGTCTCCCTGTTCTAGGATCAATCCAAGTTGTTGTCCTCTCATTATGATCAATAAAAAATATTCTACCATTAGGTGCTACTTGCATGCCCCATCCAGGTGGCAATCCTTCGTCATTGGACATGGGAAGAATAGGTTTGGGACTTTCACTCTAAAGTTTTTACAATAGAATAACAGATAACAATTGAATATATATATATATATATATATTATATAATACTGTAAATGACTTAATGAAATGTATATAATAGACATTGAGAGAGATTATACCTGTTCTGATGAACGTCTTGAACCAGCTGGACTATCAACATTATCATCAGTCTGTAAATATAAGATAAAAATATTTGCATATTACACAAATTTCAATAAAATAGATACATAAAACAAAATTAATATGTGCATTTATTATAATACAACAAACTAGTGTATATATTACAATCTCGCAAGAATATACTTTTAAATGCAGAATTGAATTGCTAAAACATATTTTTGCTATTGTATATAGTTTATGATAAATATATGACGAGAAAAACTCATGTCCCAACTTTTATAAATACAAAAAAAAAAAGAAACTTTTACACAAAAAGTTTTAAAAATATATAAATTATAAAAACTTTTACATAGCATGCTAGAAATATTAAATTGTAATTTAATTGCAATAATACATAGAACAGACTAAAAGAATATTTGTGTGAAAAATAAAAGCCTTTTGCAGTTAATATTTTATTTTTACAATATTCATATTCAATCAACTATGTAAAAAAAAAAGAAAAATTTAAAAATTATAAATTTCACCTATTGCTATATTTAAATTGTAAATTGTAGAATTTCTTAAAATTTTAGATTTTTTAGATATATATTTCTATATTTAAATATATCTTAACACTATATAAAAGCAATTATAAAAGAAATTAGAATATATAATACATGTTTTTGTGTAATTTATGTAGCTTATTGTTAGCTATATCAGTATCGAATATGTCAGACCAAAGTGATGCATAAAATAAAACGTACATATGCTATTATACACTTTATAAGAAGCAAATAAATGTAAATATATATATATATATATATATGCTAAGCGTTATATTCAACAAAAAATGAACATAACAACTTTGTATATATTAATACCTGCTCTTCAGATTCGCTAAGGTAGCCACGTTGATCAACAGAACGTCCAGAGTCTGAAGAAGTATCCCCAATACCCCCTCCCCTATGATCCCCACCCTCACAATTTCTTGCTTCCGAATCTTCATCGTCATCCTCGCGTAGAACTTCACCATCCTTACACACACATGCACAAATTTCTACATACTGCATGCTAATTGATACAAATTATATAAATATACTAATTTTGAAATTTTATATATACATGCGTAACAAATTGAACCATATTAAAAACATATTAAAAGTAGAAAATTAATTGCTTCTTAATAATTAAAATGATTAATATTTAATACTAAATCATTGGTATTTACTAATTTGTGTGTAATTAGAGAGTATATATCTATTTACTACATTATTTGCTAAACATATTCTTACATCGAGAGAAATATGCAATAAAGAATATCATTATGCACAAGTAAATGTTGCATACATCTGAATGCATATTAAAATGAGTGTTAAGTCTAAGAGTTCTTGCCAACATTATAACCAAATATTTATATATATAATAAAATAAAATAATTTTGTAAAAAATCTAATTTATCAAATAGCAGCAATGTTTGGGTTCCTTTACAAATGCACTACTGAATCGTGTTTAAGAATCATCTTATGCTTGCACGCATTTTATAAAATATAGTACATTTACAAATGACGACAAATATTTTATATTATTTAAATACACATATATTAAGATATTTTGTGCATGTGTGCGTATGAACACATGTATATCTTATATGAAATATGAATACAATACAAAAAAAGAATAATGTTTTTGTCAACATGGAGATTTGAAAGCAGAGAATTAGTATCTACTACGCAGTTAGTAAAAGTATGAAGAAATGTAAAATTATATAGAAATATATAAAAAAACATATAATTTATGTTTATTCATTTGCAATCTAATAAACTCGAAAATTTTCTAAAACATAAATATAATATATGTAATGTCCTAACATAATGGAGCAATATAGTGTAGTCTTAACTAGATCTTATTCGGAAGAGAGCATGATTATTTAAATGGATTCAATGTGAACAATTCTTTTATAGTTATTATTTAATAATGATTTTCTATGTATATAAAAAATTAATGTATATTATTTTCTAATCTTTTATTGAAGATATATGTCGTGAAAGTTTATGCAGATAGCAGCTTAGAATTGTAATATAGAATCGTAATGTAAAAATATTGTATTATATATTTAAATATAACTTACCTGATTTACTACCGAATTTCTATGTCTTCCTTCATCATCAGCACTAATGTGGAATCGTCGTTGAAATTCAGTAGCCGCTGTATCCAAATTACGTTGTTCAACAATTCCACTCGTTGCTGTTGTATCCCTGTTTAAAATAAGGCAATATTTCGAAGTTTAGACATAATATTTCAAAAAAATCAAATGATATCAAATAAACACTGTTACATACGGTTCTGGCCGTTCCCATTGTGTAAAACGCGCTATATGATTAACATAGTATGTACGACCATTTGCATCCTGTCTTTCTTCCCATCCTGGTGGTAATGGCCTATTAACCATTGTAATCTATATACATACAAAAGTATTTTAAATCATTAAAAAATGTGTATTTACATAAAAATTATATTATTTTTAGATGTTGCATATAATTTACTGCAACAAATTTAATATAACGATAGATTGGTACATACATCTGCAGCTTGTTCTACTGGAGTGTTATTTTCTGGCTGTACTAATTCCCATCCTCCCGAATCTGACACATCTCCATTGTCATTTTCAATACTAGATGAGTCGGAAATGTATGCATGATACAGTTCCAATGTTCCCTTAACTCGCGACCGCTGACTGGAATGATTACTAGCCATATCCTCATAAGTTATTCATTTTGCATTCGCAAATAAAAAAGTACAAAGCAAACAAATTTCAATGAAATAATATTAATGTAATATATATAAAAATTGCATATTTTTAATTATATAATAAATCCAAATTAAATCGCAAATTAAAATTTTAATTAATTCAAGTAATTAATAAAATATGATTTGTTTTATGCTTTATTGTGCTTATTTATGCGTTATTTATGTACATGTGCTAACTGATTACCAGCTATAACATATTTTGAATTTATGTAATTTTAACTTAAATTGCGATTAAATATAAATAATGTAAATTAGATCAAAATGTATAATGTATTAAATTAATTGTTGAAGAATATATGTAGCTTGAAGCAAAAAGGTATTAAAGATACTTACCTACGTGGACGAAGTACATAATTTCTAGCAGGAATAGCGCGTCCTTCTTGTTCCTTTGGTAAATTAATCAATGTTAATTCTACCATACCAAGAAAATCATCTCTTGTCAATCTATTTTCATCGAAAACTTGTAAGACCAATTTGTGTTCTACTGGTTTAACCTAATAAAAAAAAGTTATGTTATTTGTAATAATATATTGTATATATAAATTAAAAATAATACAAAAATATTTTAGGAATTTATATATTGTGCTTTTCATAAACTTTACTAACTCTAAATATAAATTCTTCTTCCCAGACAGGATTCAATGTTTTCTTCTTAGTTCTTGTAAGTGCAGAATCTACTGTCTGATCGCCATTTATCGTATTCAAATCAACGCGTACATAGGGATCACTTGCACCAAAAATATCTTTCTTAGCTAAATGATGCCCAGCAATTACTTTTAATCTCAACTTGCTTGTTGTGTCGTCTCCCTATAATATAAATAAAAATCATCAAATACACCAGATCTGTGCTTTATTATGAACAAGATGTGACAATAATAAAAATAATATGCAAGAAACTTTTTATAATATTAATAAAAATATGTTACAACATATTTGGCATCTGCAATTTTTTTTCCGAAAATATTTCTATATATAGCTATTCAAAGCACTAAATTATAAAATTACAAACTTTAATTGTACAAATATATTACAAATTATCAGATATCTTTCAGGATATCTTTCAGGCTGACATTATCATAATGATAGACAAGATTCTTCTTGAAATGTTGCATTATTACATTACACAAGATATGTCTCCAGACAATTATAGTAGAAATTTATTTGAAAAATCAATGTTGTTCATTATAGAAATAAAAAATATTGACATATTGAAATAATAGATAATGAAACTGATTCAACCGTGCAAAGGACACGTGTCAAAGAACGCAGGTAAAATACTGCTCCATTGTAGATGAGTGTAATATAAAATTGACATTGATAATCTTTTTCGATATGATATGGACAGATTGTTGTCATCGTCACTCCATGATATACACCGTTGGTGAAAATGCACGATGTACATCGCGAGGACAACTCCGTTTTTCGCAAGAAATACCGTAGGAAAATAAATAACTGCAAAAGTAACTCTCGGTGCGCCTTTATCAGCCAGAAAACCCAACCTGTACTTGTCAAACTGTCAAAGTAGAGTTACGTACGGAATCGCCATCGACCCCGACCGTCGGATTGTAACCATAAACATGTTCCTCTGCCATTAACGTTTCGTGTGCTCGCGGTTGGTATCTAATCGCCGCGACCGCTCCTTCTTATACAATTTAACAGGCCTCACAGTTTCTTATGTGCCATCAAGAAACCTATGTATTTTGTGTGTTAACCCCTCTCCGCGACTATTGCGCGACCGAGACGGATGTGACATATTCGCTTCCGGGTACAAAGATGGCTAGCTCTTCCTTTTAAATATTCAAAAAGCGGCGAATCTATCCGATTGCACATATTTCATGATTAAATAAATATAAAAAATCACGTGAAAATTACTATTATCTTACGTGTTAAACCTCCGCTATATAATCCCTTTCATTTCCAATCGAGAAATTCTTTATTGACAAAGCGATAAATAGTAAAATATGAAAATTTTGCAAAAAATTCGAAAAAAAATAAGATGCGATAAAGCATAAATAAATTCTTTGCGTTCTCGTATACATTACATCTTGTATTATAAACCAATATTAATTAATTGTAATTTAATATGCAACTGATGCAAAAATATATTCCGTATTAAAATAAAAAATAATATTTTATTTGCCAATACAAAATATAAAAAATTGTTCTAAAAATATTTTAATAATAGTAGAAATATATATAAAATATTTTGGTTTAATATTTCGAGATAAATACGACTTCACTCAATATTTTAGTGCCACATATAAAAAATTTTTGTAAAAATTCATTATCTTACGTTATTGTTATCTTATTTTGTTAGTATCATGACAAGACTTAATTTTGAAGATTGTGATTAGAACAATGAAAATTGTGCAATAGTCATATGAAAGATATCTTTGCGATTGGTTTATATAACATCTGCTTCAAGCCTCTGCAAATTTGACAAGACATATTTTAAATATCAAACCAACTCTACATAGCTTACTAGTTAAGGATTAGGAAACCTTTCATATGCTTTCGCATAATAGTTCTCGCATATCGCATCATAATACAAAGAATTACGACACTAGAAAATAAGAAAAAAATCTTAATGAAAGTCTATAAATACATTTTATCACACACATATTATATACACACATATGTTTTTGCACTGTAGAATTTATAATGTATTCTAAAGTGGAAATAATGTAGACGCGTTCTTGAGATAAAATTATAAAACTTAACTTTGCAATCTCTCTTTCTCTCTCTCTTTCTCTTTGCAATCTCTCTCTCTCTCTCTCTCTTTCTGATGCAGTTTGAAAATTTTATGACTAGTACATACTATTATACAAGTACGTAGAAAGTCATTTAAGACAATTTCAAGATTTGCACAAAACTTTTTCTATGTTTTTTTAATATGATTTTTTTTTCATAGTGCAGAAGCGTTTGGTACTGATTACAGTATCAAAACTTTGACAATCTTGATGCCAAATATTATCTGAAGAAATTATGCGCTACGAGCTACATAAGAAACTTTTTAAAGATTTTAAAACTTTTTTAGTTTCACATACATGTTAATATGTCTTACCGAAGGCCCTGATAACGATACTCGACCAAGCTGCGCATTAACTTCTGTTACACGTGATGCAGAACGATGTTGTGCATTCCAGGTATAAGCGCGTCTTCTAGGAGGGAGTGAATCAACGCCAGCATAGATCGGATATGTCAAAGTACCTGGCATCTTTTATATTCTTTCCTTATATATTTGCAATTTTACACACTGATCTCAAATTTATCGATTCTGGACAAGCATTATTTTTTATATTATACCATGTTAACTTTTATATTCTGCATTAACTTTCTTTTAAATTTTTTATTAAACTGTAAATTGTGTATGTGCAAGAATGACATTAAAAAGAAAATCTATAATGTATCTATTTTATTATATATGTACATCATCATATCAACGGATTTTTTAGAATTTATTTTCTAGTTTCCATTGTCATTTCTTTATCTCAACATATACAAGATACTCTTCATTATAATCTATTTCCTTTATATTATATATTTAAATTGCGCATGAGTTTTAAGTAAAGCTATATTTCTGGATATAAAGGTGTAATGTTTTGATATAAAAATTTTAAATAAAATGTATATAACAAAAAGATTATATATGATTCTTTAAATGTGATACAATATGTTTTTTTCCATGAATATTGCAATTAATGCGATTACAGACTTTATGATACAATTAGAAAAAAAGCAATATGAAAAACAAGTTGCAAAGAGCAACATATATATATTATAATAAATTGATGTGTATTTTTTTCCTATTTAAGATATCAATGTTATAAAAGTCATAGACTCACACACACACAAAATAAAATCATATAGCCACATGTTTTTTGACAAAAATTAAAATTTCAACGAAACTAAAATTTCCAAAATGCAATATTCCTTAATCAATTTCACAACTCACTTATAAGTCACATATTGTATCTTTGCACTTAATGCCACGATCTTCGCAGAAAAGAAAAACGGACATGCATGTACAAATACGATCGTTCGTATCCAGACTCGCTTGATTCACTAACGCGAAGAAAATGTTAAAGTTTCAGATAAGCAGTGTATCATAAATTATCGTCGAGATAACGCGGCCACCACGACATGCAAAGTGCAATAAACTTGCAAATGATGATAATTACGTGTGCGTGCATTTGTTGTGTGTGTTTGTATGTACAAATAATCGCATTCCATAAGCTACAGCTTTTATTTATTGTTAGCAATTTGCGAATATGCAAATTTGTGTATTACAAAAAAAGCATCGAAATATATTCAAATGTGTCGCCTTACGATATATATTCAAATTTTTAAACACATTTTTATATATTTTATTTATTTTATATCAACTTTTATTATCAAAACAATGTTCATATAGATCTAGAACATTTTTCGCCGATTGCATAATGAGCTCAAAAAACAGACAACATTTATTTTTTTAACTACACATTATTTTATATATTACTCATCAAAAATTGAACAAAACAACACAAAAAATCGAATTAAAAAAAAAATATATGATTAACATCAGACATATTGCTTTCGTATGCTCCCTCCCGTTTTAATAACTGGCAATATGTCATTTATAAAAGAATAATTTTTGTAGTGCTGGCAAAATCTGTATCAGAACCACTAATCAGAACACAGTAAAACAAGTGGCAACTTAAAGATCTATTTAGATGAAATTACATAGCCACAGAAAATGTATGTACAAGTAGATGAACCAATCACAAACCTAAAATGAAGAATGCCATATTGTTACATCCTGAATATTAGATACGTGATTGGTCGTAGTTTCTTTATAGTTAGTATTGTATGACTGTACGAATTCATTCGGATAGATCTTTATGCTATCGTGTTTAAAATTGCCTGCGTCCTGTCATCCTGTCAAATATACTAATCATAACCGGTCAAACTTTGCGATGCAAAGTGAAAATCGTGACAGCGAAAGATGGGTTTCATCGAGGACACTTTCGTGATTCTCATAACACAGGTGGAAATTTGTTTCCACTACGAAAATCAGTTTTATCGATACTTCCTGAACTGTGATTAAGGTTATAAAGAGAGTATGATGCTCTATAAGTGTATCTCACAATATTGTGTGAAAATGGTTTATTTTGCTATTTTAACAATGTTTAATGTAAAGTTTAATGTATATATAAAATTTGATGTCGACAAGTTTCAATATTTTTTATATTTTAGTTTTTTGCAATATTAAAACTGTGGCAGTAATTCCTTGTGGAGTATTAATATCTATGGATCTCTTTGCATGTGATATATTTATGAAACTGTAACTAAATTATAAAATGTATATATTTGAGAATATTACAATAAATTTCATATTGTAAAATGTTGCAGTTTATTTAGTAAAATATTGAATCTCTTCCATATAATTGTATGTTCCTATTTATTTTGACAAAAATATATTTCATACATAGACAATCTTTTCTATGTGACAGATAATTTCTATTGATTATCTTTCATATTCCAGGTAATTTTCTTCTTAGGAGGATGGGTATTCTTTGTGAAGAAATTATTCAGGGATTATGAAGTTCATCATAGACTAGTGCAACTAATTTTTTCGACAACCTTTTCATTGTCGTGCACCATGTTTGAATTAATTATTTTCGAAATAGCAGGGGTGCTTGACTCAAGGTAAGAAATAAAAGCACATTTTATTATTTAAGGTACAATATATTGCGCTTTCTTCAGTTCTAGATATTTTCATTGGAACGTTGGCCTTTATATGCTTCTATTTATGGTGATAGTTCTGATACCATTTTATATAGCATATTTTATCATCAGCAATATCAGATTTGGTATATAATTGTTGTTATAAACAGTTTTCTTTTTATTACTATTTAGTTTTATAAAATTTGATAAATGTTTCTGATTTGTACACAGTAAGACTGAATCTAATACGGCCACTGACAGTTATCATATATCTTTTCTATCTCTACTTATTTTGGAAAGTGGGTGATCCTTTTCCCATATTAAGCCCCAAGAAAGGATTGCTGTCTATAGAACAAGGCGTCAGTCGAATAGGAGTTATTGGCGTCACAGTAATGGCTCTACTCTCGGGTTTCGGTGCTGTAAATTATCCGTACACTTCAATGGCTTATTTTATGCGTCCGGTTTCTTATGCGGACGTGCAGTCTATAGAAAAACGATTGCTACAAACTATGGACATGATTATCGCGAAAAAAAAAAGAATAGCATTAGCTAAAAAAGGCGAAGCCGTTGGGCAAACTGAAACTCGATCTCGATTATGGGGGATGTTAAATCCATTGGGTGGTACAAAAGGAAACCAAGAAAGTAAATATTCTTATTCTCTTTAATTTTACATAGAAATTATGAATATGTTATGTATCTTAACGACGATACATATTGCTTTATAGCTATCAAACAATTACAAGTCGAAGTTACTGCTTTAGAAGAGTTATCACGACAATTATTTTTGGAAGCGCATGATATACAAAATGCAAGAGAACGTTTAAAATGGGCTGCCACTTGGCAAGGAAAATATTTTAATTTTCTGGGTTATTTCTTCTCTTTATACTGCACTTGGAAAATATTTATTGTAAGTGCATTTATTTAATAACTTTAATTTAAATAATTTTATCGCGAATAATTTATAATTATTATATTTACAGTCTACGATCAATATAGTATTTGATCGGGTTGGCAAGAAAGATCCTGTGACTAGAGGAATCGAAATTGCAGTCCATTGGATTGGTTTCAATATCGATGTCACATTCTGGTCGCAGCACATTTCTTTTTATCTTGTTGGTTGTATTGTTGTAACGTCCATACGTGGATTATTGTTAACTCTTACAAAGGTATATAAAATACATACAACTTATGTAGCAGTTCCATGCATGTTTATTCATTCTTTTAAATTTTTACAAAATAATCTATATATATATGTGTGTGTGTGTGTCCATGTTATATATGATAAACATTTTTAGTACTGTATTATATAAGTAAAGTAATGTATGTATGTTAAAGAACACGTAAATCTTTATTTTCTATTACAACATTATCAGTCTTAATAAAAATGCGCTCACTATTGACTTGTTTCAGTTTTTCTATGCTATATCAAGCAGCAAATCATCAAATATTATTGTACTTATACTTGCTCAAATAATGGTAAGGATAATATATTTGTAATTATAAATCATGTGTATGATTTCCTGGGTTATTTATATTCAAAATGTTGTGTACTATCTCTCTTTTCAGGGAATGTATTTTGTGTCTTCTGTGCTTCTTATGCGAATGAATATGCCAGCAGAATATCGCATTATAATAACGCAAGTATTAGGAGAATTGCAGTTTAATTTTTATCATAGGTGGTTTGATGTTATTTTTTTGGTATCGGCATTATCATCAATAGTGTTTTTATATTTAGCTCATAAACATGCACCGACGGAACACATATAACGAAATAAAAGTTACTTTTTATTTAAATTTGTCGCTTATTTTATGAAGTAGTGTACTCAAAACCTATATTTAATAATTCATTGGATAAATATTTAACAGAGATTATGGCAAAAGAGATTTTGACATATGTTTCAGAAGTGGTGTGTAATAATGTTTCTAAATTAAATATACTAACTTTTTTTACCACAATAGTCTCTGAAATGTTATTTTTTATATTTTTAATTAAGTTGTAGAAAATAAAATTGCACACAGAAAATAGCATCTATATAAACATCTTCTAACTATTATTATGCTGCTTGATTATACATATGTTGTAAATGCTACAAGCAAATATTAAAAATTTGTAAAAAAAAAAGATAATTATTTTGCAATAATTATTAATTAATAATAATTATATTATTCTCATAGTATACTTGAGTTGTATTTTTATTGTTCTAGGAAATATAATTATCCAAATCACAGATAACTGAAACATATATAGTAATAGAAAATTGATATTATGATATAGATTACTGAAAGTTGATTATGAGTCCATCATATAATCCTAATGTAATAATTCAATAGTCCATTCTTCCCCCATATTTACAGCTGGTTTACGTATTGTTAATACATTGTTATGTGGATTATATGTAGTTTCTAAAGTTACTCTTCCCATACCTATAAAAAATTATAATACATATATATTATTAATATAGATTTGTTATAAAATTGTACTATCATACTCAAATTTGATTACTCACTGTGGGATTCCAATTGGGCAGACTTAATTCCTTGTAGTGGATTGACTATGTCTATTCTTTCTAACCAGCTTTGTGTCTCATACGAAGCTAATTTATCTATTAGAGTTGAAGTTATTTTATTGTTGTCCAACATTATTCTTAGATATAAATACTTTCCATGACGATATTCAAAGCTGGCTTCATCATCAATATAAAGATTACCGCTAGCTTTGCCATTACTATCAGCGATTACTATTAGTGTGTAGGGATCATTTTTCATAGCAACTGTACTACGTCGTATCCTCATTTTTCGTGGAACGATGGAACCACTTCTTTGGAATACAGGGATCTTGTGGATCGTTACTGGTATTTTAATGTATCCAGCCTTTTGATAAGGTTGCATTGTATCAATATCATACCAAGTTACTTTGTTTTCTCCTGGGAAATAAACTGCTACTTCAGTGGCACCAGATTGAAATACTGGACGTACGAGTAGAGAATCGCCAAGTAGCAACTGATCATCGATAATAAATGTTTCCGATTCTGATGGATAATGCGCCCATAGAGGACGTATAACGGGTAAACCGTTTACTTCGTGCTCTCTAAAGAGCGTGTACCATAATGGCAAATAGGAGTATCGCAATCTGAGCACTTCACGGACTATTTGAGTAGTTTCTTCATTGAATGTCCATGGCTCGCGTCTCTTTGTCTCGATATGAGAATGCTGACGGAAGAAAGGTAACCATGCTGCGGCTTGATACCATCTAACGAACAGCTCGGAATCTGGATTCCTGAAGAAACCTCCCACATCGGCACCGCAGAACGATATTCCAGATATAGCAACTGAGAGACACATGGGATAACTTACGCGCAAGTGACTCCAGTCAGCCATATT